TCTTTTGTTTAGTGGAAAATGTGTGCATCAAATAACTTTTGAGTCACAGCTTACAAAGATGTGAGAGAAGCCTTGCCATTTCCATAGATTGTGGTACCTCCAAAGCCAGTATCACAAGAGAAGCACAGACTTTAGGATAGAAGAATACATTTTGCAACAAAATAATATCAGTCAAGATGAAATATTTTTTATTATTGCTCTACATATATAACAGGATGGACAATAAATGAGTTTAGAATCCAGATTGCCCTTAGGAGAATATGACTTAAGGCACAGTGGTAGCAGAGACAGAGGAATACATACTGCAGGTTACCTCTTTATCCTAAGTAGGTGCGCATTAGAATTACACCTAGAAGTTTATCAAGAATTCAGCTTTGAAGAGGCTCCAAACCTAGATCTGTTTTTAAACATTGCTAATCAGTGGCTTCATTTGGTAACAGTCACGTCCTAAATATGCTGATGTGGCTACTAACTTCTTTGCAAATGCTATGCTTCTGTCAGATCAAATCACAGCTTTTCTTGTGGCCTTAAAACTCCCTCTCTTCTGAGGTCAGAAATGATGGGCAAAATAGAATAAATAACAAGCACTGAAAATACTGCTTTATTTTGAGGGGGAAGCTCTTGTTCAGCTTCTTCTATTTTCTGAGCCCATTCTTATTGCAACTGAGGATAGAGTACATCTCTACAACGCAGCTGAGTGTTTCTTAAACAAGGAGGAAGGAAAACAATACTTATATAGTTTTAAATTCCTTTATTTTAGTTCCATACTCTTATCTACTTGTTCTAATTAGTATCTAAAATGTTCCATTTTCAGGTGAGTTATCATATTACATACACAGACACAGGAGAAATAACAGAAGCAGCTGCTTCTTTTGTCTTGGGAGCAGTTAACAAAGAAGCACTTTCAATACAACAGAGCTTTGAAATCAGCTTTACTCAGGTAACTGCTAGAGATGTTATGGATGACTTGGTGAAAGACATTTAATTACAAAACTTATTAAACTTGAATCAGAGCAATTGTTAGCAGCAAGGTAAAAATGTAACTTGTCCTGACGACACAGATGAGGCAGCATTTCAGAAGTGGGCATTAGGGGCCTCCAGAGACTGTTATTGGTGTGCAGAAGACTCATCCTGTCACTGTGTACGAGCATATCCAGAGAAAGCAAAGCTGATCCCACTATCAGAAAACTGGGATATTCTTGCAGCGAAGCTTTACTGCTGTACAAAGCAGTTAATAACTGGAAGAACACTGAAACATTTTACCATTTTCCAAATATTTCAGCACAAGATGAGTAATACTGTAAATCTGTGTTGCAGGTGAATACAAATCCAGTTCTTTTCAGTGGTAATCCTGGTTATGTTGTTGGACTGGCTGTAAGAGCAGGCTTCAAGCCACAAGGATATCCTTTCCCTGCTGCAGTTCTGCTTTCAACACTTGTTCTGCTCCAACTTCACAAGGACTTTCTAGCTTGGACACCCTGTACATTTTATCAGTTCCTTACTGAAAGTAAATGTATGCTTTTTGGCTGTGTTCTAGAAGTGATCAATGCCTGTCCTCACTGCAATCTCCTGGAACTGTGCAGTGAGGTAGACTCAGATCTTCACTGCATTCTCTAATGCTTCTCCGTGGTTTAAGAGGAGTCTTGGGTTACTGCAGCATTTTAGATAAATCTTAAGGATCTGACTACAGATTCTTTCTTCATAGTCCTCAAGTATTGTGTTTCCCTTTAACTGTGCATTACATCAGGCATCATTCAGAGTACCAACGAATACAGTCAGCTCACTATTCTGCAAAGCACAGCCAACCAAGATTGTCTCACAGCACAGGAAGCCAGAACCCCAGTGTTATTTGGTTACAACATGATATCAGGCTGTAAGTTACGGTAAGAGGATTTTTTGTTTCCTTATTCAGTGCTTTTAGCCCCACAACAACTCTTTCCATTAGGATCTGTTCACATCCTGGGACATTCATACTGCTGTAAGAGTATTGGGAATAGAGTATTTAATTATAAGAAATATCATTTAATTAACAACGTTCTTTCTCTTGGAGAGATTGTTCACATTAGCCACTTTAGCCAGAAGGCTTGAGCAGTGCGTGACAGCAAGGAGAAATTACTTCTGTGCCAAACCAATGGATTTTGCTGTAACTTTTTTTTTTTTTATCCCCCCCCCCCCCGGAAGAATTACAGCAGCTATGAATTGCCAGCCCTTGGCTCAGATCCTCCTGGATTTACTGATGGGACAAAGCTTTCCTGAATATGTGGCCTCATTTGGAAATTCTCAAGCCCAGGATGTGCTTGACTGGGTGCCAATAACTCACCATCGCATCTCAGAACAGGTGAAGATGAACTCTTCCCCCCCATTATCACCCTTTCTATCTCCTGTTCTGGGATCTGAACCTGTTCTCAGCTTAGGTTTCTCAGACCTACACGAAAAAAAGTGCAGAAAAAAAACAAACAAACTGGAGGTCAGTTCCTCTGGAATATTCAGAAACAAGGAACATTTCCCTCTTGCTGTAAAGAGAGCACTTATGCTACTTTGAGTGGGTTGAATGACAGTTCATCCTCAACTGCAGCTTCTGTAGAATTTTTTTGCATCTTTTTTGCAGCTGAACATTGAATGATTTCTATAAACAGGAACATGAGAGTTAAAAAAGAAATAACCTGGAAATATTTAAGGTTATAAAATCCAAAACTCTGCCTTGGCAAAATTAAGGGTTTTCTACTGTCCCAACCACATTCTAAGATGACACTATTAGGAAAGCCTTCTTGCTGAAAAGAGCCAGCTCAGCACTGTCATTAACAGCCAAAGCCCTGCTCAGATCCAGCAGCCCTACCTGAAGTTCACTTACGAGGTCAGTTCGTCGCCTATGGAGAAACTTCAGAGACGCCCCCAAGCTGTGGCTGTGCTGTCTGTGCAGGCAGCAGTGCAGGGCGCAGGCACGGCTGAGCTGCTCTGCTGACCTCCTGCAGAGAGCTTCCTGGGGGCACTGTGCTCAGCTAATAAGATGAATAAGGCATGAGCTTGCTCCCATACCAGTCAGACAATGAGAGGATTTCTAACACTTTTCAGAGCTCCTGCCAAATACCAGCAGCACTTGACATAGAAGTGAAGTGGACTAAATACGGATCCCTAGTCAACCCACAAGCCAGAATAGTAAATGTTACAGCAACAATCACTACTACTACATTGAAGCAGGTATGTAATTAAATTACAGGATCTCAGATAAAAAGAATGGCTTGTTTTGCTTAGGTATCAGCTGTGCAACAGTGACCTGGTTAATCTCTCTAGATAAAGATAACACTTTATATTAGAACATATCACACCCACCAGATTCTGTTCCAACTCAAACATGACTGTGGGCAGCTTGCCAAAGCTTCAGTAAAATTTGTACATCAGCCACGAAAAGAATTGTGGAACTATACATGGAAAAACCTTATTGCAAATAACAGCAAAAAACAGAATTCAGTTTAAACAAAGCAGTCATACAAGGAGAAGAGCAAGGCTAATGCCTGTTTGTATTTTCATTGCAGCTTCCTCTGGGAAGAGAAAGGACTATTCCTATAACAAGTTCTGTTGTTTTCACTGATATTTCTTCACCTGCAGAACCAGGCTATAAAGCTTGGCCCACCATTAATGCCAAGTTACCCCATGACTTTTTCTTCCCATTTGTCTAAGGTAAGTGCCCAAGCCAAAAAAAAAAAAAAAAAAAAGGATAAAAAGCTAATCTCTTTAATTTCTCTTTCTATTTTTAATCCATTTCCCAAAGAAGCAAGGTTTATCCAGTCACTGTGCTGGCCAGCCTTTCCTTCCAAACTGTAAGCATGCCGAGTTAAAAACTGTTCAATAGAAGAAAAGGTGAGTGAGCCCTCGTGAGGGTTCTCAAAAGCTTTAAGGCAGGGGGAAAAAAAGAAAGCAGCATGAGTGATGAGTTGCACCAATTGCACTTCTGCTGGGAGGAAAAAATGTTGCACATGAGCTTCTTGGGGGCTGCAAGCTGGCCTGTCAGCACACATTCAGCCAGCAGCTGGGCACTCTGAGCTCACCCCAGATCAATGGTCTGGGGCTCACAGCAAGCAGGCAGAAAGGGAAAGAAAGGGAAGGAGCACAGCTCCATAGGAAACTAGGCTTTATTATTCTGTGAACAGCAGAGCTAATTGTTAATTAATCATGTGGCATTAGATAAGGCCTCCGCTTTATCTGTTTCTATAGTTGAATGAGATGCACATTCCTAGTTATTTTCCCCAAATCACTAATTTATTACATTTCTTTTTAAAAATGTGAACAGTTAAATGATGCTTTCAGAAGAGTTCAGTGACCCTCCGGCTGGCTGTGGCTAAAATCAATTGGAGAAGCCTGCTGCAGTCAACACCTTTTGAAATTCCTATTCCTCAAGTCTCACTCTTTAACTATAAAATACCCCAGGGCTGCCAGTACCTGAACAAGTTGACATGGTGTTCAGACACCAGCCTTGTCCTTTAGAACGTGCTTCCTAATTTATTTATTTTTCTAACTGTTCCCAGAAGTCCACTCACCTAGATCTTGTCTTACAGATTCCTTTAATGTGTTGATTTATGAGCTGTGGAAGCAGATGACTTTGTAGCCCAGCAGGCTGCAAACGAACACTTAAATGGAAGAAGAGATGATAGAATACAGGATCAGAACTCAGATCTGTTGAGAATCAAGCATTGTTTGACATAAGATGGCATGTGTTTGCCTCCATTTTGCTGCTCATGTGATTGCTAGCTAAAGAAGTCAGATTACATAAATAATGAAGTGGCACAAGCAGCAACAGAAAATGAATCAACCAGCAGCGTGAAAAAGAACTATTAGCAAAGAAGAGATGTAGCAGTGGTGAATGGTCAGCTGTGAGAGATGAAATGACCTTTCCAGCCTGGATTCTTACGTCTGCTACAGCAAGTTTCTACAAGGTGATGCAAAACAAAGAACCTTATCACTGAAAAACAGAATTCCTTGAAATGAGTGGTACTTCCTGAATGTACAGCTTGTAAAGTTGTGTCTTTATTAAATTATTTTGCACTTGTCTGTACAGCTGTACAAGGGTCTTGTGGAGTCACTGTTTACAGGGAGCACTCATTTAATTTTCCAGTGAAGCTATTTTTGCAATCCCAAGATCTAATCAAAGTGTGGTCAGATAGAAAACATTTACAGAAACACTACAGCAGAGAAAGCAGGCAGAGAGGAAAACCCTTCAGGTCAATCTGATACGTTTCAACGCTGCACTCGCCACGGCAGACTTCCCCACCTTGGAAAACTGGCCTTCTACGTTTGCTCGCTGATGAGCCCGTGCTGTTTTAACATCCTGGTAAGCCTCTCAATTTCTTGCTCCTGTTGGAGACAAAAGTCACCCCGTTCACACAGCTCTGACCTTAAAGTAGTTTCCTAGATTCCTACAGATCTTCCCATTGCTGGAACGTGTCTCACTGCAGGAAAACAGGACAACCTGGCTAACACAAGTAGGACAGAGGTAGCCGTCATTCCTTTGAAACAGAAACACTCAGGGAAGCAGAGGCAAGGCTGCGGTTCCTCACAGACACAACCTCACAACTTGCTGATGAGGAAACCAAGCTGGCAGCAACAAGCTTGCAAAAGAATCCCAGGCCAGCTTGTTGTTGGGAGCAGCTGGTAGGTAAAGCATGATTAATTTAAAAGTGTTTTCTTACCTTCTCCACACAGCTGTGTTGAAGTTGTTCAACCTTTGTGGCGAGTTTCAGGTTCACCTGCTTTAGCTTGGACACTTGTTGTTCAGAGCGGGTCTTCACCGATAAAATTATTCCTGTGCAACAATTCACAGTGGGTTCATTTTACAATGTAAAACAACCACTAGCAGGAGGTGAATGGTACACAGGGAGTTAAGCTCGTTCCTCTCAAGCTCTGCTTCTGTCATCTTACAACCACCTTTCCCAAGTGCTTTTCTTAATGAGGAGGTTTTTAGATGAGCCACCCCAGGGACTCGGATACCGATGCTCTGCTGGGAAGAGGCAGTCTGGCCTCGGAGCTGAATTATTCTCTCAAACTGTCATTCAAAGCCTGACTTTGAATTCAGTCCATTGGCAGAGCTGGGGGGATGTAACCAGTGCCTCGTACAGTGAGGGGCTGCATTCTAGCAGGGCTCAGGGCTCCCATCACAGGACCTGCTGAGCAGCAGCACACAGCTCAGCCCTGGGCACAGTACTGCTGCCAGCACCACACGGTTTGGCCTCAACTTGTGCAACCCAGCAGCAATGGCACACAGTTTCCCCTTAGAGCAGAAATGACACCTCTCTACCAAATTATTCTTAGGTTATTACATGTGAACTCAAGTCACACAGTGAAGGCAGTTTCTTCCCACTCTTTTCTGAGGGGAAAAAAACCAAACCAACCAACCAAACAAACCAAAAACCTGCTTGGTAAGAGCACCAAGAACAGCACAATCTCCCTGACAGCTCTTCTGCCTGTTTACAGCACAACATGCACTAACTCAGCCACCAGTGCATGCCTGTGTTTCCAGTGCTACAGGCCTGCAGTTTTGGGGTTCATTTCTCCAAAAACAAACAAGCAATGCTGCTTATTTGCACTGACAACATCAAACAGCTTCCACCTGCTGTAACCCGGCCTCTACCAACCAGCAGGGGCTGAAAGCACCAAACTACACAGCACCCAAAGTTCACAGTGGTTTGGTACCAAGCACAGAACCAAGCAGGTGGGCACGGTGAGCAGCCCTGCCATGAGAACAGAAACACCCAAGGATAAGGTTTATTTGCAAAAGCAGTGCTGTTTTCCCACTATGAAATGGTGCATTAAGAGATACCAAGCTCCTGTGGCTTATGCATCTACAGACCAGGCTGCTTTCTCTCCAACATCCACTCCCAAAGGGCTCAAGTTGCTCTCATCTCCTCTCAGCCTCCAGAGACACTGTCCCCATCAGAATGGCACCAGAGGTGCCAGTTACAGGGACTAAGAATCTCTTTTCTTCCTACTCCGACTCACAGGACTTACAGCCCTGAGGCTCAGGAGGCTCACTCCTCACCAGGAGTGCATTTGTAGGCACAGGGCTGGGGTCTATACTCAGGCTATGGTTTCACGCAGGAATTAGGGATAAGCTCATTACCAGTATATTCTTCAAAAAGATAAATAAATAAATCACAAAATGACTTTTCTTCAAAGGTAGGAAATGGTTCCAGCTATGGCAGATTTAGAAGTGTCAGAACTTACAACCGTTCACCACAGTTTATAATTCCAACAGAAAGGTCTAATTTGGGAACATCTTGTATTCCTCTTTTTACAGCAAATCCTTTGCCTCCCAGCGAGAAAAACCCAGCAGAAGATCAAGATGTTCCCTGCAGCACCCCGGGGGGATGACGGAGCTGCAGCAGAGCGACAGAGCCAGCAAACCCACACTGGTGCAGCTCACCTTGCTCCCTGCTAAAGCACTGCCAAGAGGATCCTGCGACGCAAACAACGCTGTGCGTCACATCCCTTCAGGAGGGAGCTGTGCAAGAACAGCGTTCCAGTGGCTTGCAGGGGAACGTGCTGCTGTGCGCCCGCCACCGAGTCATCGCACCCACACCAGCAATGGGTTGTTTTTGTTCCAGAGAGACGACAGCCTCGCAAAGGTCACACCCCAGTACAACTTAATTTGGTGAGAGAACAGGACCCTGCGCTCTTTCTTTGAGGTGGGAAAGAACATGCAAGGTAACTCAGGGAAGGGCAGCAGACCCAGCCTGTGCCACGTACCGTTGATGATCCTGGCCACACGCCACAGCCGCAGCAGTATCAGGAGCCCCACAGCTTCAAACTCGTGCTCCCGAAAGAGCAGGACGAGGTCGAGGATGAAAGACACGACGACAACGATGCTGTCCAGCACTTCGAACTTGTGGTGGAAGAACTCCCGGCCATAAATGAAGATTTTAAACCCCACCTCAACGAGGAAGATGGTGAGAATAGAAAGGGAGAGGTAGTGGAAAACCTGTGAAAAGAAAGTGCAGATTTAGAGTTAGGAAACCATCCTGTCTACGTGTGTGGGGCAAGCTGGGAGCCCCTGCCACTCGAGGGCACCTCTGGCTGAGCTCTGCAATAGACTTTGGCTGAACCAGAGAAGAAGAGTGGTGAGTACAATGCAGCTCTGCTGAGCCCAAGGAAACACAGAGCTGCTGCACAGACCATGGGCTGGTCAGCTTTCTGGCAAGCTCTGTAGCACCAAAGAGAGGGAAACAGCAGTTCCTCTTGATCCTTTCTTGTGTTTTACCTTTGGGGCTATGTGATATTTGTCTGGATGGATGATCTTCAAGTCCATCAGCAATTCCCCAAGGACCAGCAAGGCATCCACGATGACCAAGAAGACAATGACAATCTGTTGGAGAAGAACTCAGGTGAACCTCTCCAAGTGCAGCAGATGGGCACAAGTCCATAGGAAACCACTCAGCTCCCACCCTGCACCCGATCCCACACCATTTCTGCTCCCACAGGTGCCTTCAGGCCGAGCTTTGCCTCGTTTCCCTTTGCCTCTGCTTACCCTGCCTCACCTGAAACCTGCGCGAACTGAAGAGCTTCTTCATCACATCTTGGAAGGTGACGTGGGCACGGGAGGGCTCCAGTTTGATCTCCGAATCCTTCTCCCCATTGTCCTCCTCCTCTTCCTCCCACTTTTTATAATCGTTGCTCCACTGTACGGGGTCATCCCCCACCACCGTGAAGTGTTTCAGGTACCGGGACATGGCTCCGGATCAAGCGAGCATCACCTGCCTGCGGGACCAGAGCTGAGCGTCACCTCCCCGGGGACGCGAGATCTCCCGTTTCAGCACCGTGAGCGCGACAAGAGCGCGGCGTTTCGTTCTGAGAACAAAGCCTGCGGACGGGAAATCGCTACACGGTGCTGCCGCTTGCTTTGCATCACCGCCCACGGCACAACATGACCCCCCCACACCTCCCAGGGCTCCATGCACTGCTGAACTCTGAGGCTCTTCCTCAACACGTTACTTCCAAACATCCCAAAACTTCAGCTACAGGAGAACAGCAGCAGCCCTTATTGAGACCGATCCTCGCTGTGCACTCAGAGCCTCCCTCAGCCCTTCAGGCGGCCTCAGCCCAGCTCCTCCTGGTCCCTCTCACCCCACGCAACAGCTGTGACTTCCCTTCCTTCGCATCACCCCCAGCTCCAGCCCAAACCCGTGGATGTGGCCTGACATCGAATGGGGCTGCGGGAGGGGCTCTGACTGCTCCTATGTTCCCCTTTCACAGCCCTTCCTCTTCTGGACAACTTGGCGAGCTTGCCCAGCCCACCAACCCACTGAGAACCCTCTCTTGATGCCAGTGCATAAGTGCATCCCCATCCCCATCCATTCCTGGCCAGGAGCCCAGCATGGGCCGACGCTCGAAGCTACCAAACTGAGGGGCCGCCAGTCACAGGATCCAGAGCCGTCGCTGTGGCACAGGACAACCCAACCTATCCCCAACCTCTCCACCCTGTTGACACCGAACCGAAGCCGAGACGTTGCCAACACGGGGCCAAGATCCAAAGGAAGACGAACGTCCGCCCAACACCTTCACCCTCGACCCGGGTTGGGAAGCCGTGGCCAGGCCCCGCCGACCCACAGCCCCCCGCTGCCCCCGCAGCCCCGGTACCGTGCGCGTCCCACTGCCGCCGCTTCCCTCCCGCCGCAGCGGAGCTCCCAGCCCGGCTCCGCCCCTCCCGGCCGAGGGCGGCCCCACTGCCCCGGCCCGGCCCCACCGACTCCCCCCCCAGCCCGGAGCCTCGCTCCCTTCTTGCTGACGTTTTCCGTTTTCGCAGCATTTTTTTTTCCCAGTTCGGCCCCGATGGACGTCCATGAGCGGAAGCTGCAGGAAGAGGATGCACCAAATGGATGTTAACTTCGGGTTTGTTTTCCTAAACTTTTTTTTTTTTTGCAAAATCAGCTGCGTGCTCATTTTGCAAGAAAACAACACGAGGGCGGGCACAGAAGGGAAGCCCGAGTGCTGAGACCAGAACTCAGCTGCTGAAGAGTGCGGATCAGTCCCACGGAGCAGACGGAGGTCGGGATCAGGAGAATTACAACGGTGTAAACCTGAGAAACGTGGCCACTGTTAATCCACCTCGATTTTTAGGGGCCCTACTTACTTTGGGAACCCACCGTCTTTCAAACACAGCTGCTTTGGGAAGTGCACCGAGTAAAATCAGCTGCAAAAGGATCAGGGAGGAGTCTCTGCTGCAACGAACTCAAAATATCCTCAGTGCTCCACCAAGCAAAAGCTCTGTTTTTACCTGTTTCTTTTTCCTTCTGGAGAGCCTAACACTTTTCCCAGAACCTTAACCCAAAGCACACAGCCCTGTCCTCAGCCCGTTCCCCAGGGTGAAGGGGAAGCAGTGCATGCAATGCCCAGTGCAAAGTCCCAGAGCCCCCTCCCCAAAGCACCTACTTACAGAGAACAGCACAGGTGTGACCCTGCTGCAGCAGGAAGGAGGAGCTTTAACCTGGGCGTTTCCAGCTCATTTAGGCATTTGGTCTCAGCTGGCCCCCAAAACACCAGCGCAATCAGCAAATGCAAGAAGGCACCAGCTCAGGACTGAAGCTGCAGACAGCAGTGCTTCCTCGTGAGTGCCCTGCAGACCCGAATCTGTTCTTGGTAAGGAGTGCAGGATTTAAGGAGAAAACACAGCCAGCTGCTGTGCTGTGTGAGAGCCGAGTCAGCCGACAGGATGGGGAATGCAGGTTCAGCTCTGTGGGTCAGAGAAGTACCTTGTGCTCCTGGCTGTCATCAGCTCCAGTCTCACTGTGGAACGGGGCCTCCACCAACTCTGATCCATGCTGGGGCAAATTGTCATTGCTCCTCAGCTTGGGGACAACTTTTTTTTGGGGGGGGGAATGGACAACAAGGCCAAGAATGCTCAGAGCAGCTCTTGAGGATTTACTGTCAGCTCAGCCATGTTCTTCTATTGCCAGAACACACCCCATCACAGCTGGCTGATTCTACCAAATTAAAAGGAGATTTAGATTGGATACAAGGCAAAAGTTTTGATCCTGAGGGCAGCGAGGCACTGCACGGGGTGCCCAGAGAGCTGGTGGTGCCCCATCCCTGCACACAGCCACGGTCAGGGGACAGGGCAGTGAGCACTGCTGGAGCTGTGGGTGTCCCTGTGCACTGCGGGCAGTGGGAGCAGATGGCCTTTGGGGGTCCCTTCTGACTCCAACCATTCTACGACTAGTTATTTTTAATCCATTTGCTGAAGGCAGTCACTCTAGAAAATATACATGCAGTGAGTGTATGTAGTGTTTTCTTTTTATAGTAACAGTGCTTGTAACCTTGTTAATTGCAGGATGCACCTCCCTGCACTGGGATGTGTCAGGATGGTGTGCTGGGCTGCAGGCACTGCCATAGGGCAGGAGCCCAGCGCTGCTGCAGCCCATGCAGGAGGTCAGCAGCCTCTGGGCTGTTACACTGCTGTGGATGCTCAGCATTGGCCACCTGCACCCTAAGCGGAACATGCGGAGAGTGCGGATGCTGAAAGGAAGGGCTTGGGCTGCATCTGACAAAGAAAAAGACCTGCACTCCCCAAGGTCCCCAGAGAGAACGTGCTCAGAGTCACGTTCTGCGAGGCAATGCTTTGAATAGGAACCGCTTTGCACAACCCCGTGTGAGCCAACAGCACGAGGGAGCTCAGCCCATCTCCAGCACCTGCACTGCAGCCTTGCCTGCCCTGAAGCCTTCCCCAGCCCGTCTGCTTTTGGCTGCTTTGCAGGACTCAGGCCTGACGCTGCCGCATCCAAAAGCGCTCTCTTACATCCACTTCTCATTCAACAATTCATGTTGTTCAGCATGAAACTTGGATGTAAAGGATGCTGTGTACACCAGGGCAGACGTTGCTGAAACTCCCGTAGCCTCCTGTACGGCCTGAGTGCCTTTAGTCCGGTCCTGTGCTGCACTGCACGCAAAATGAATGCTTTGTTCTTCATTTCACAGTGCTGCAGCTTCACATCACAGCACAGGGTCGACAAATCCTAAAGCAAACCAGGGACACAAACACAGAGGGCATGAACCTTCCCCACCGCCACAGCGTGCTTTGGGACTTCCTTCAGCCCAGCAGCTGCCGGCTGGGGAATGCAGTCAGGCAGAAAACAGAGCCCAGAATAGGCATGGTGTGTCACTAAAGCCACATCTGAGGGCAGAGCTGCAGTCAGGGGAAAAAGGTGTGACGCACCAACAAAGGCTGCTGCACAGATGGCTCAGTGCATTCCTGTAGTGAGAGCTGGTTCTGCATGTTCTCTAATAACCAGATGGGTAACAATGCACACCACTATTTTACGTGGTGGTACAAAAATGATAAAGCTATCAAGAAAACCACAAATGTGATTTTAAGAGGTGAAAGCGCGTTGTGAGAAAGCCCTCTTCCAGCCAATCCAACACCTAATCTGATGGGGCCATGAACGGTTACAGAGGTAGCTTGATTAATTAGTTTTAGAAAGCAAAAATCCGAGTAGGAAAATGCTTTGATTTAGCTGAGCAGTGCATTTCAAAATGTGAAGATCAACAGCTGGGCCCGGCCCACTGCGTTCTCATCAACAAAGTTCAGCTCGCTCCAGGAGAAAGGAGCAGAAACTGATCTGATGAGCAGGATGCCAGAGCAGAGCTGGTGGCTGACCCAGGGCAGATGTTTCAGTGCCAAATGGAGCAGCACCCGCAGGCCCTGCACAGCCAACAAACCGCCCCAGTCACCTCCACATCCAGCACTACTGCTGCAAGGCACACGGGAGCAGGTGAGAGATGCACACAGACAGCAGGGCAAGACAGCAGGCTGCCCATGCTGCACCTGACCTATTTCCTCCCACGGCAAACTGCTGCAGTTGGCACGTGTACCAAACCTCGGTAACGTAACAGCAGTGCTAAAGCACAGCGACTTTCTTCATCTAGAATTCAGAGGCACAGCTCTAGTGTGTGCAGCTCAGACAAATCCAAACCAGAAGGGTGTGGGTTTCCAGAACGATTTATTTCTCTAAGTCATGTCCTCTGATAGCAGCAGTGCACACGCTGTGATAAACCGACACCGAGAGCAGTTAACAATTTCTTCATTTAATAAGCGATTTTCACTACATGGTATTGTACACTGTCATCTGTTCAAAAAAGTCTTAAAAAACGAGATACCGTGAGGTATCTGTATAAACTGCTGATCGATGCCTCGGGTTGGCTCTTCCAGCTGCTTCCTGGGCGCCTCCGTAGAACAAAGTCTTTAGGCCACAATGCTCCAAGCCATTCGGGCAGACGTGGAGCCGTTTCCGTAACTTCCAGCTGTCTGACGCGGGCCTGATGCAACTGTAAGAAGTCCGTTTGATAGAGCATACAGAAACTGTACAAAATTGTGTTTTACTGTGAATAGAACAAACAGCACAGCATTTCTACTCGCTACTTCAAGTCCAGACTTCCTTTTCTCTCCACGAGGAAGGCATGAATGGAAAGCCCTGCCAGCTCAGTGCGGTGGGTCGTGTACATACAGATCTCTATGCAGACTTTGGCTTCAGGAAAGACACGAACACTTGAAATAATGGCTTTAGTTGTCACTTAAAGGACAGGGATGTGTGTTTTCATTAAATATACATCATACCAGTGATGCTGGGGAGGTTGAAGGTTATTTCTAATGTTGACAGCGATAAAACCAACGTGTACAGGACAAGACATAAAAAGAAAAGCAATCCCTTTAAAACAAATTTTAACGTAAAAAAAGTTCACAGTGGTTTGTATAAACAATGTAATCTCCCACAGTAACAAAGCCCTACTCGCACAGCACACTAGTGCCCTCTTTAGATCCTAAAGGAGAAAACAAGCATTTACACTACTCGTCGTACAGATTGAGAAAGTCAGTTGTACAGTTACCCATAATGACAGGATAAATGCTGGAGTGTACAGCGGGAACACCAACAGAAGGAAAGTTTAAAACTCTTTTCCTAGAAGGGAGAAAAGTCCTTCATTTGCTGCTACAACCAGCAAATGCCATTCATCAAATCAAAAGGGAAACCACAAACACGTTCTATTTTGAGCAAGCTGAACAGTACACGTTACAGTTTAAAAATGAAGGTTACATATTATGATACAAGTCCCAGCCAGGCAGTACCACGTGGACTATTTCTTTGCTTGCTTTGTGATCATACTCCTGGGAGGTGTTACGGGTCTGCTAGCGTTGGGCTTCTTCTTCTCTGCGGGTTTCAAAATCTGAAAGAGACAGTTCAGCCTTTAAGGAAAGCCGCCAGCAGTCTCACACCCCAACAATCCATTTGCTAGCATTAGGCCTTTTACACAGATCATCCGGCAGCTCAAAGCCTCTGAAGGAAATAGATTTTCTGCTCTGAGCTCTGGCAGGCCTTAGAGCAGCTGACCAGAAAGCCCGTGCCAATGGAAGAAGGAAGACAGCGGATAGCTTTGCTCCAGTGATTTAATCCCAGGGTCAAGCGGTTCATCACACCAGTCAGGGCTCACTGCATTAAGGCCACAAGGGCAAACAGCTCTGCCTACATTTGGTATCTGTGAGATCTATCAGTTTTGTGATGGTACGGATAAATGGAAAGAGGGAATCTGAAGTGTGACTGCAGTAACTGGGAGGTAAAGTTGTCAGATACAATACCTGAAAAGAACACATTAGGGTTTCATCCACACTCATCATGGCACCTGCATTATCAAATTCTCCACAGTAATTTGGGGCAGAAAAGAGAGTCACCAA